CTTAGACTTTCTATCTTTAGTTTTTTAAATGACTGGGTGGTATCATTATCCCATATCATAAAATAAATGGCCTCCCTGACAATGGAGGACATTCTTGGTAAAACCTACCCCCCAGTGTTTGGGAATGCCCGAGAGCCTTAATACTTCCCCATTGTACAGGTTTCTCTGAGCAATGGGCTGGAGAATGACTTCAGGGACACTCAGTCAGCAAGCCCCAGCCTCCCTCAGGTCATCAAGGTGACCTCATTGCAACAAAGTGCTGCCCCTGCAGGCTCAGTGGGCTTGGTGACCTCCAGCAGCTCCCCTAGGACCACTGGGTCAGATGTCACTGCACCTCTTAGCACAGGGCACCTCCAACCTTGTCATGCAGAGAGCTGACAGGAGGGGACAGGAGGGAAGGCTATTTGACAACTTAAAGCTAATGGCAACAGCTATTCCTGTTGTCAGTTCTAAGCTTCAGGTCACCTGGGCCCCTTGCAAAGTAATGACAGCCAGCGTCTGAGTCCCGCTCCATCACCCTCACTCATGACCTCCACAGCCCGGCCATCATGGGGTTCACAAGATCCTGCCCCAATGATGAGAGCTGCCTCAGCCACCTCCTGACTGCTGGTGTCCATAAGAATGGTTCAGAATTTCATGGGAATACATGTAGATGAACTTGTTTTGACAAAGCTAAATGACTGTAATTGCTTACTTTCTGCCCTGCTTAATTTTGCTACATGTCAGACACGGCACATGGAAATGATCAGTGTCTGGAGCATTTACAATCTCTATCCTTTCTTTCCAAAGCAGGGGGCATCATTTTTTTCAATTCTACTGATCCAAAGGCCTTGGATTGGTACTTGCCAGCCCACCTGTCTGACCTCTATTTTAGACTCTGGGAGTTGATATTGAAACTCCTTATTAACTTTATTTGAACAACAATTCAGTGATTTCAGTGCCTGAGGCAAAGGCCACGCTCCTCAGTTGGACGGGGGAGGGGCTTCGTTCAGTCTTCAGGTGGTTTTATAAATGAGAGCAGTTTGTGACTGCTCAGCAGTCTTTAAAATATGTTAGATGATGATGCTATGAGGGGACTCTTAAATCCCGGTTCTAAACTGAAGATACCACCTTTGTCTGTCATTCTCAGTGACCACTAACCAGGCCAGGCGTCCCAGGGAAGCCCACCTGTGCTGGTTTGGGCAGTGAGCGCGTTTGAGATTCTGTTCAGTCGTGATGCACCCGTGGCACGTGGCCGCCCTGAGGGTCTGTTGGTGGGATGGCTTCTATCCCGACACCCTGGGATCATTCCCTGGGCTAGCACAGGCTTTTCATGTCCCTCCATTCCAGCCCACCTCACTGCGATGTGACACCAGCCCTGCCCCCTTGTGAGTGCCTCCAGAGGACAGAGGCCACATCTCTGTGACAAAACACAGCACCCGGGAAACTGCCAGAAATGGGGAGTGGGCCCAACAGAAGGGTGCCAAACCAATCAACAGACAAACAAATGAATGAGAGAGTGAAGGAAGGAAGGAATGAAGGCAGGGGGGGCAAACAGCTGCTAAATAAGTAGGTGCCAGTCCAGAGAGTAACTCGAGGTGGACCCGGAGTGAGGGCACGGGCCGTCAGCAAGCAGGGCTCAGGGCTCTGCCACAGTGAACAACACTGACACAGAACAGGTGCTAAATATGTTATGACAGTGAACACCGATGAGGCACTCTCTGTCCCCAGGCCCTGTGCCAAGCCCCTTCCATGACTGACTTAGACCTTGCACTAAACTCAAAGAGCTGGTATTATTTTTGGCAAAGTGAATGAAGGGCCCGTGAGAGATGCTGACTCTCCAGAGAAGGTGGGGGGAGACACAGCCCAACTCCTGCCAGTATTGTCAGCCTGGTGCGTTTGCTGGAAGCCAGTAGGGCTTTGTAGTGAGGCAGGTGGATTCTCACTACAAAGAACCAGCCTGCCTGGGTTCCAGCCCCAGTCCTGCCAGGTGCATGAGGCTAGGCAACTTACTTCACTTTCTTAAGCTCTCTGTGACCTGCTTTGCTGTGGGGATGGTGATGGGGAGCAGGGCTGTTGAGAGACCAGTTAAATCGTAAGCTAGATGGCATCAGACCTGACGTGCAGCAAGCGCTGAGTACAAGCGATAGCCTTGAAATGCTGCCCTCCCCTGTCCACATCATGAATGGCTTTCCTGGTGTCATGGTCAGGAGAGGAGAGACACCCTTCTTCTCTTGTCATAGGTATGATCTGGGCTTCACAGACTTCAGGATGTGGGGACACAGGGTCCTTTGGCCACAGCGTAAAAGTCAACTATTTCTGGATAACAGTAAGAGCAGTGGGGAGAAGGATGGAGATTTAGTGTTGATTAATCTGTGATAAATGCAGCTAAAAGATGTAACTAAGAATCTGCCCAACATACTCTCATAGTGTTAGACGCCAAGCTGAGACTCTGAAGTCCCAGCTGCCAGAGTGGGGTCAGCTGAGGACATGTGGTATGGAGCTTCTTTACTGCTGGGGGGTGGGCATATTATTTCCTGTTTCCACCTGACCCTCTCCTTGTCCCTGACAAGACACAATGCCCAGCCTCATAGAGCACCCTCTGGGTCCCTGCAGACAGAGCAATTCCCCAGGCCTCACTGCCCCACAGGACAGTCAGCTCTGAATGAAGAGCCCAGACTTTTGGGAGGACATGGTTCCAGCTACCCTGGGCAGAGGTCCATGGGCTCATTTATGGTTTAAAAGAGCAGGGGCGTTGGGATGAGCTGGAGAGTGGGCAGTACAGCTGATTGCAGGCCCTACCGTGTCTAGATTTGGCCCTGCGGAACCTAGGCTGTGGACTGTAAGAATCTTTTACTTCTACCCAGAACAAGGACTCTATTTTCTCATCTAACCAGAGGTTCCTCATCGCCAAAATGTCTGTGGTTCAGTAGCCTGATCAGCCACTTGCTCTAAGACCTGCTTCCCAAATGACTGTCTTGCCCCTTCTGGCCCCTTCATGTCCCGGTATCATCCAGTGGTTTGCAATTCCACCTTTTAATCCATGTTCTTTTTCCCTCTGATGGAAACATCCTTCCCGCCCCTGCATCTGGGTTAATTCATTCATTCTTTCATGCCCAATTCTTCCATCTTCTTCTTCATGGAGAGTTCTCTGACCGATTCCTCTCAGATATCTCTGTTTTATTCTCCCATAATTCCTTCTGGAAGTTTCTATCTTGGTATTTGCCACTTCTTTTGTATTTTCTCTTTATGGTCGACCCTTCATAGGAGTGAGATCCTTGGTGGCGGGTAGCATGACTTTTGTCTTTGCGTCATTAGTGTCAGCTCAGGGCCTGGCGCATAGCAGCGTGTGAATGGCTTGGAAGAATCTGCCCAAATCATTCTTAATTCACAGAAGAGAAAGCCCCACCAAAGCATTGCAGTATTTCAGCTGATACGAAATGGCTGTACACAGAGCATTATGAATACCAAACAAAATTCACAGACTTAGGCTGTACGTAAGGACAAAGAAGCAATAACGAAAACCTTAAAACGGGGTGAAGGCCCTGGCAAGGTGACTTGGTATACAATGAAAGGATCCAACATCTCAGAGGCAAAAGGATGTGTAAGGTGGCCACTTCCTTCTCCTGGGTACTGGAGGGTGATACTTCCCTAGTGAACGGAACCAAATCTTCCACCCGTAAGTCAACTGATGTAATTCTATGCTAAAGCCAGTGTGAAGTCTATTATCTTTTAGACTAAATATGGAAGGTCTGAGTACCATGCAGGTAGTTAATTTTGTCTAAAACAATTAACTTTTTAAAATAACAACTAAATTTAAATCCAAACCAGAGAAAAGTTGCATGTTATACGGAGAGTCCCTAAGAAGCCTTAGAAAAGAGCTATAGCATTGGGTTAGAATTCTTCAGGAGACTCTATGGGGCAGCACGTTGACTAACCTAAGGGGGGACAGCCCCGAGTGGAGACACAGAGGCAGCTAACTCAACACTAACCCATTAGAGCTCAAGACAAGCAGACGTGATAGGCTGGATCCTGAGAGACAATGCTGAGATCAGATGAAGGTCCCTCTGGCCCCTTCATGTCCCAGTATCATGCAATGGTTTGCAATTCCACCTTTAAATCCATGTTCCTTTTCCCTCTGATGGAAACATCCTTCCCGCCCCTGCATCTGGGTTAATTCATTCATTCCTTAATGCTCAATTCTTCCATCTTCAAGGGGCTCGAAGGTCAGACACAGGTGTTAATCCTTAAACACAAGGGGCTGTTAACCACGGACCCAAACAGCTTGCACTGGCTTGTCTGATAACTCCACTACCTTACATGAACTTTGGCTAAAGACAATATCACTGGCATTGTGGTTTTAAAATTTCTCCTCGCTTGAAATCACCAGTTCTAAGACAACCAGTATGAAAACGGGAGTGAACCCAATTCTACCCAAATTCTTAGTAAAAATCAACCACTTGGCCTTAACACCCTTTTCCCAGTGAATAAGACTATAAAAGATTTAAAATCACTTCCTTCTAGTGCAGCTGCTTTCTTTTTACCCCTCTCCCCCCAGTGTACTTTCACTTTCAATAAAGTGTTCACCTGCTTGGCTTAGGTGGCATGTCCTGAGATTCTTTCCCAAGACGAACACCAAGAACTCAGAAAAAACTCCACTTGGAGACCAGTAACAGAGGAAAGGGGCACCAAAGCTATTTAGGAGAAGGGGACATTGCTAGCCTTTGAATAATTAGTTCCAAGAGTCATATGAATGTACCGAACAAGCTGAACCCTGACAAATTCTAGCTTTGATGCTTTGCAAATTAAACTCCATCCTCCACTGAAAGCACGGGCTGTGTGCAGGGGCACACACACACGCACGCACACGCACATATACACACGCACACACATTCGTACAGAGCAAACACGCTGTGCTGTATCACCTGTACTTCATTTTAACTCCTTGGTCCAAGATGCATCTAAACCTCTGAAGTACTCTTCAAACTCGCCAGAAAATACAATCCTTCTATTGGTCTTACCCTGAGGTAGTTGAGGGTGAAGTTTGTCAGCCCCATCCTGGTGATGTTTTTGGACAGCTGATCCAGAACCTGAGGATCTTGTGCCTAAGCAGAAGGAAAAAAAATCACATATTTTATCCCTACGAGATGGTCCCAAGAAAAATTTAGGCTCCACTATAGCTGCTAAAAACATGTAATCTCAGAATTGTCAGTTTTTCTTGGAGGGCAGTTTGCTGGAGGTGATTTAACTCACATTTTTTTTTTTTTTAATTTATTGTCAGGGATTCATTGAGGGTTCAAGAAACCAGCTTTCACTGATTGCATTTGTTAGGTAAAGTCTTAACTCACATTTTGAAGACACTTGGATATACTGCTCAATTTCTTGAACAAGGGGCTTGTGGACGTTGAGCCTATAATTATTAAAACCCACTCATGTACAAGGAAGAGCTTTTTTCTAGAGTTGTGCGTGAAGGCGTAATGGCCAACCCCAAGGACCTTACATTTTAATAAGCAGAGCAGGATAATAATCAATGCACAGAAAAACATTGTTGGTGGTACTGCCCCGTGGTAAGATCCAATCACAAGCACCACATGAGGACCCACTGAGTGTCTGCCAGGTATTATTCTGGACCCACCGCACACGCATGCCAGGAGCTGTTCTGGGCGTTTTGGAGTTATTGACTCCTAACCCTCAAGTCAACTCGCTGAGGCAAGTTTCTGATTATTCTGGTTTTACAGATGAAGCACAGGAAGCACAGAGATGTCACATCATCTGCCTGAGGTCACACAGCAGCAAGGACACAGCTGCTGTGCTGACTGTCTTGGGTCTGGGCTCCAAACCACTGCCCTCTGCTGCCTTTCAGTCTGTTTTGAGAAGAGTAAGAGTGGACACTCTAGACTTCCTCAAG